TTCCTAAGTAGTTTTTAGAGAAAAAGCCAAAAAAGTTAAATAGAATTTTGTTTTCCTAAATTGGAAAACTTTCCCATTTCACAAATGCACACAAATTTGTTAAAGAAAAAGGTAGGTTCTCCCCGCCCCACGCACTAGCATCCCCGTCCCTGATTCTCGCAGCAGGGTAAAAACTGTCCCCATCGTCGATCGTCGAACTTCGCAGATACACAATCCCCATGGATATCCGCAAGATTTTGAAAATAAATTAAGACCCGGATTTCAATGAATAAAAATGTATATTTATAATCTTGAGAAATAGTTAATAATTGAAATAAAACAATTCTTAGTTCCCATAACATAAAATTTAATGGACAAAAATATAACAGAAACTAGGGAAGATAGTTTTGGTCATTATTTTGATGATTCGTTTAAATTGAACTTGGAAAAAAGAACACCAAGCTTGACCTGTTGAGGTTCTTGAAGCTCCAAAACATTAATAATGATGATGGATGAATAGAAGATGAGTGAGGCACAAGCTTTGATCAAGAGAGGATGAGTGGTTTTGGTTGAACTGTGATTGTCTTGAGGTGCAAACATCAAAACATGAGGCTGAAACTTAAAGAAAAGGTGTTGTGATGGATAAGAGAGCAGGTGAGTAAGTGAAGACCATGAGTGATTAAAGATAGAGTTAGTATTCATGGGAGGGGAGGTTTTCGTCACTTAGGGTCAGTTTATGTATACGAAGCTTATAGTATACCAATAAATATGAAATGCTAATTTAATCACTGATGTAGGGACCCCATGGGACGGGGAATATGCTGATGTTCCCCATCCCTCTTTCCAAATTAATGGCAGGGAATATTTGTCTCTATCCCCATCCCCATGGGGAAAAAATCTCCAATATTGGGGTCCCAATCTTAATTCCCCAAAGGGATCCCATTCCCCACGCTCTCCACTCCCATTGCCATCTTTGGAGAGGATCAACTTCAGAGAATATTGGAGGAGGCCAGGAGGGGATGGAAGGGATTCCTGAGATGTAGGGGATGTGAATCGATGACGGGTGAGACTTGAGAGGGAATACAATGTGGTGGTCAACCAAGGACATCGCACTCTTATGCTCTCATTCATTGCCCCACATGAATTTCACACTTCTAGTGAATAACTAAATATTTCTTTTTGCTATTGTACATTAAACCATGATGAGGATGGGGTGGGCGTCAATATTGCATATAGTCTGTAATCTTTATAATAGCAGAATGGTTTAAATAAATGGATGTTGCATGCTTGCATGAGCGTTAGCTGACAAAGTCTCGTTATGGCTTGAAGAAAAAAGTCTATAGGGAAACCATCTTACCAACTTTGGTATATGGGAATTTTGAATGACAAAGAATGAACAAGAGCAACAGTTGGAAGTTGCAAGTTTGTGAATGTTGCGATGGACATGTGGCCGTATCATGTTGGACAAGATACCAAATGCGGTCTTGTGGGAAGAGTTATGGTCACACCCTTTTCAAATAAAGGATGGATGATAGTCGGCAATGGTTTGGCCACATTCACCATAGAGATGTGACGGCACCAGTGATGCGTGGAAAGCTTTTGGTTGAGTGGACGAGGATAAAAGGCTGGCCACATAGAATATGGGGTGATGTGTTGAAGCTGGATGTGGCAGCCTTAATTTTTCTGAAGAGTAAAGACATGACCTCTGTCAGACAGGGAATTCTGGAGGCACCAGATTCAAGCAGTAGATTTTTTATAGGGTTTGAGAGGGTGCTTTGTTGGGGTTAGGGTTTTGTGACCGTGTAGTAAGTGTGTGTGAGTATGTTTTCTTCTTTGTTTTGCGTGATTGCTTATCCTCTCGCATTGTCTTTTGTTTTTGAATATCTCTCATTGTCATATTGTTTTTGCTTACTTTTGTGCTTTAACACTGTTTACACTACCTTACACTGCTTCTTGGGTGTATGTCACTTTTCCTTGACTGTACATTGTAGTAAGTTATACATGATTTGTTCGGTATATGCATTCTACTCTTTTAGCTCATTATATACTTCTCTTCATAAGTTCATATACGGTTTTATCTTAAAAAAATTCAAAAATATATATTCATTTTGTATTAATAATTTTATCCTTTACCTTTCTTCTGATTGTGCTAATCATATACTACTGCATGGTTTGGTAGGGTTTTATAAAATTCCATATTATAAAAAGTTTAGTGTAACTATAAATTGTAGCATTATATTATTGTCTGGTTAGACCCACATTTCCTGATCTGTTTCATCATTACTCATTACCGAACTACCCAAGTGCAATTCCGGATTACATCGTCTGATCATATGCTCTTATAATCTAAATCTGATTAGACCTACATTTCCTGATGTGTTGCTGCAATTGCAGGCATATTCATACATGCACATTCGCAATAAGGAGTTTCCGTGGGGTAATGCTTTCTATCTTAATTGCAAAGTTTACTTGTATTGTTGCATGTTCTTTTTGGGTGCCTTCTTGCTCGTAAAACTTACATAGGGTGGATCTTTATATCTGATCTTTAACAACAATAACAACAACCTCGCAGAGGTTTGGGGGTCAAGATGTACGCACCCTAACCCCCCCCCCCCCCAAAAAAAAAAAAAGATAAAAAAAACTATTTTCGGTAGACCATCGATGCATTGCTTCTTTTACTACCCGAAACTTCATTGAAAGTAAGAAGCGAAGGAAGTTTGATATGTTATTCTGATATATGTAGCTCTTTGTATGTGGAATATATGAACAATATGGGTGAACATTGTTATTGTGAGTTTTCTGCACATTTTTGTTCAAACAAATTAAAAATCTGTGGTTGGGATTCATTTATTAGGGAAAAAAATAACGCGAACCACGTATTGGTTTCCTTAATATAAAGTGAGGATAATTTTGGGATATCTGTTATCCCCCCAAAGAAGTCAGGTCTGATTGGTTTCTTGTTGCATTTGAAAGTTGTATTGATGATCAGCTGATTTTGTTTAAATGCAGGTCCAGATGGCCTTTTTGAGGTAAAGCGCCATTGATGGCTGACGTCATTGTCCTGGAGACCAGAAATAATTTTTGATCGGAAACTGTTTTCAAGACTTAATTCATTCTCATTTGCTGTGCCTTTTTTTTTCTTTTTTTGGTACAATGCTATGTGCCATTTGAAGTGGCAGCCCAATTTTTTTTTAAATAATATTTTTTTCTGATTCATTTGTCACTTATATTTGATTATTATTGGGAAACTAAGTTGACCAAATTTTATTAAAATGTAAAATTTAGGGTTAAATATTTTTGCCGTACAATTTATATACTTGCCAAATTATTGGTCATAGATACGTACTCGTATCATTGATTGTAAAAAATCAAATGTAAATTCTTTTTGGGTCTAAGCTGCATTTAAATTTTGTTCGAACTCCAAAACTCATGTGTAATTTTTAAGATTAATTGAAATCAGGGAAAAAATATTGTAAATGATAAATTTGAGTTAATAAGTTTTTGAAAAGGTAATTACCATTTTATAAAAAATTAAATAAAAGGAAAGAGAAAATAATCGAAAATGGAAAAATTGATAAAAGTAAATATTCGATTCCTTTAAAAAAAAATTTTGTTTCTTTAGTTTTTTTTGACATGTAAAGTTTCTTTATTTTTCTCCTGCCACCTCATATATTACACCTAAATGTTGCTAAATGTCATGTTCTTGTAGCTTGGAGTCTAAGGATAACTTTTGGATACAAATATAATTACGTACATATTCAATTTGAGAAATATTTGACTGCCAAATATTAAAACAGACACAAAATACGAATTGAATGTGGAGTATTTGTCAAAACAAGTGCTTACGTATGGCTTCATCTCATCCTACAATAAGTGTACAACAATTGTATTTCCTTCCTACCATAATAGATTGTAAACAGTACAAAACTAAGAATTATTTTAAGTTTTTTCAATTCATCTTATTTTAAGATTGGTACGTAAATTAAAAACTACATCAAATAGTGATATAAAACAAGAGGTAAAAAGAATATTTTAGTTTATCAATTAATTAATGAAAATGTACAAATAAATAAAAGTTATCGTTCCTTCAAAAAATAAAAATTATCATGATTTTGAAATAGTGAATATTGTAATCAATGGTGATAGAGGGAGTATGATAAAGATGTCAATACTCATTACTTCTTCAATCTAACTATATGTCATGTTTGAATTGTCTTTTTACAAATAAAATTTAAAATAGATAAATTTTAATCATCAATTCACTACTTTGTAAAAATTGCATTATATACTAATAAAATAAAACATATTTTTTTTTAAATGTTTACAAGATAAGATAAATTAAATTATTTTTATACTAATTTGTATTTTTTATTTAAAAGACAATTAAAATTCATCCAGATTAACTGTAAATATTTAAATTGGATAAATACGCTAAAATTGAGGTAAGTATTTTATTTTAAATATCTGGTAGGATTTTTGAGCAGTCTTTTGCTCCTCTGATCATCAGGCAATGCCAAATCCACAATCAAGGAGGGGTTATGAACTATTAATTTTATTAACGGAACACCTTAGGTGCCTGTATCATTTTGATGTCAAAGTTTCTAATGTAAAAAAAAACCGTTGTGTTTAAATATAGCTAAAGCAATAGTCCTCGTGTCATTCTTTGTCAATTTTAATTATTCCCTATTCACTATTTTACCTCATTTTAAATTCAAAATTATTCTTGATTTATTGATATTTTCATATCAATATCAACTAGTGTATAAAACTCCACTACTTCTTAACATACGTGCCACTCTCTCATATTGAAAGCAAATTCTTGCATTAATCTAAAGGTCCATGATAGATATTTACAGAGTATATGAGAGCTAAACAAGCATTTGGTTACTACCCAGATAAACACTTTTTAAATTAAAAAGAATTTGTGTGAGAATGTGAATGTCCTTATGCACCTTGCAGAGCTTAAGTAATTCAAATAAAATATTCGAATAAAAAGAATGATCAATGATGTGTAAACATTAATAACGTAAACTTGTAACTGAATGCAGTAAGCAAAAAATGGTACAATTTGCTTCCATGTAGAAAAGCCAACAAAGTACAAACAAATTCTTAATGCAATTCATAAAGTATGACTCTGTAGCAGCAGCAACATCTTTGTTACTGCAGTATTTTCTTAAGTTTTTGAATGTGGGAATTGGATTGGATCACTTAACTCTGGTTAAGCCTGGTTTCACCACGGTTAACGATTGTGCCATTGTCATTATGGGGATCCACAGCTGTGCTAACTGAACCCGAGTCATCACTGCTTTGTCGATCCGGTGTAGAATCTGAAACAGACTCCCCACTACCGATTGATACAATGTTGTCATTCGTTGAATCTGTACCAGAACCTCCAGCAATGGGAACGTCTTTGTTTTCGTTTCCAGCCTGTGCAGAACTAGGGGTAGAGTGGTCTTCTTGCCACACTCCATTTGCATTCCCTTCAATCAGCGATGATGACTTCATCATTTTAGTTTCTCCACCCTCGTCTTCGTTAATGCCATTGGGGGTAGTGTGGTCTTTTGCTTCACCCTGTACATCTTTCGTCTTGTTGCTTTCTCCACCCTCATCTTCATTAACGGCATTGGGGGTAGAGTTGTCTTTTACTTCACCTTGTACATCTTTTGTCTCATTAGTTTCTCCACCCTCATCTTCCTTAATGCCATTGGGGGTAGAGTGGTCTTTTATTTCGCCCTCCATGCCTTTCCTCTCGTTACTTTCCTCCCCCTCGACTTCCTTAGTTTCGCTTATTTCCCCACTTTTACTCTCTTCGTCCTCCCCATTTCCTTCTTTGCCCTTCATATTCTCCTCTACCTTTGTGTCGTTCTCTTCGCCTCCTATTTTACTTGTTTCCTCGCTCTCATTCTCTTCGATTCCATTATTGTGACTAGTTTCTTCTACGTGATCGATATGCGTATCGACCTTAGGATCCTTCTCTTCACTCACACTATCTTTTACTTCCATCTCTTCACCTCCATTTTCAATTGTTTCCTCGCTTCCATTGCTTTCATCCGTCTTTTCTTTGATAATACTATTTTCCTCCCCACTCCCTTCTTTGCCATTCATATTCTCCTCTACCTTTTCGTTGTTCTCTTCACCTTGTTTTTTACTTGTTTCCTCGCTCCCATTCTCTTCGATTCCATTATTATTGTTATCATTAGTTTCTTCTACTTGACCATCTTTCTTTTCATCCGTGTTGTTGCCATTCGTATTGACCTTAGGATCATTCTCTTCATTCCCGTTCTCTTTTGCTTCCATCTCTTCACCTCCATTTACACTTGTTTCCTCACTTCCATTGCTTTCATCCTGTTTTTCTTTGATAATACTATTTTCCTCCTCTACTTTCACTTCGTTTTCTTCATCTTTGTTTTCACCATTTTCCACGCTTTCATTCTCCTTGCTCCCCCCATTATCATTTATCTCTTCGTTTCCATTCCCATCCACGCCATTTTCATCCTTTTCCTTGTTCTCTTCCAAGACATCCCTTTCAATGCTCTCCCCATTTCCATCTACGGACTGCCCATTTTCTTCTTTCACTTCTTGATTGTTCTCATCATCAAAACTTTTCCCTTTCTCCTCCTCTTCCTCGTCTTGTTGCTCCCCATTACCTGAATCTTCGGAATTCGCTTCCTCCAAACGAGGTTGGAGGTCTTTCCTGCCCAACTTGAAATCTTCAAATCCGTTGTCTACCTTCTCAGAGAGAGGCTCGTGTTCTCCCTTTGAGGTGTTTCTATACCGAGATTGTTGGATTTGGTAAAGAAGCCAGACACAAACACCTACAAGTACACATACTTGAAGAGTGTGTTTCGCTTTGAATCCCATGTTCCTCTGGTTCCTACGCGGCGACTGCTTGAACATGATGGGTTTGCTGTTTTAAATGCCAGCAAGCTCTGTGAATTTTTGTGAGCCACATATTCAGTTTTTTAAGCGGGAAGTAAGAAAGTGAAAACTCCATTCTCGAAAGGAGGGAGTAGTAACTACGGGGTAAAAATTATGACAAATTAGGCTAGCAAAATAAATGTTAGAGTCATCTTTATGATGGAACAATACAAGGATCAAATACCCTAATTAGAGATAAAATTATTCTAAAAATCTTGCAAATGGGCATTCAACCACTTATCAAAACTCAATATGACAGAGAACAAAGAGGGAAAAAGAAAAGATGACTGTGTTGATCCATAGTGATTAGGGTGTGCTATCAATGTAAATGCTGAATAACAACAAAGAAATGACATGGATTAGGATAAAAAAAAGAAGGAATTGTCTAAGAACAATCTGAACTTCTTGCATTTAGCCAAAAATGATCCCCCATTTCAAAATATTCAAGTAATTATCACATCTTCTTCATGAAGGTTTGTGCAGTAAATGCGGAAATCCATCAATGTCGAAGTTGGAATTATTATTGAATGAATAAGTTAAAGATAAAATTACTACTGAATATTTTGGACTGAACTCCATGTTAATATCATTCTGGGAAACTTATCCTCAAAACAAAGATCAACCCAAGAAGCAAGTAAACCAAACAGATCCCAATCAATCAATAAACAGAACCAAACACAGTGAAACCCCATCATCAGGAGCTAATAATAAGATCAAGAACATGAAGAAGAAGAAGAAGAAGAAGAAAGAGATGGCTTACAATACCCAGTGAGAGAAAGTCCTGTGAATCCTTGGGAGATGATAAATAAGCAGTTTTGTATTGGTACTTTGAGCAAACAGTTGAACTGCACAATCCCAAGAACAAATACTGATATGATAAATTTCTCCAGAAGCGACTTTCAGAATAACTACTTCTACTACTACACTTTCTTAGATCCCAGATTGGATCTAAGTGTAAAGATTAAAAAAAACTACTCCCTCACTTTTCCTTCTGGTATAGCTTTTCCAATGCCTCAATTTCATAAACTTGGCCGTGTCTCTGTAAATTAGTTTTAATTTTTTGCATTTAACTTTTGAATTTTGATTTATAATTAAAATAAAATATTCAGAAAGTAAAGTTTAAATGATACTTCCTCCTTAATATACGTGCAAGTATTACGAGAGATAATTGAGGAGTGTAGGACTTGGACTTGCAAGAAATATTTTAAACCACTCCAAAGTCAAAGTTATTATGGAGTAAGAGCATCTCCAACCATAGTAAAATGACTTGCTATATGTTATAATTTGACAAGCATATACAAAATTTCATGCTCCAAGGGGTTATTCAAAATTTGACTAGCTTGTTAAAAAAAGAAAATAACTTGTTATTTATAACAAGCATGCTAGAATATAGCTAAACAAAAATTAATGTGAATTTCTTTTGCAATGATATATACTACACAAATACTCCGTATAACATTTTTTTCCCGATGTGAATGTGATTTTTTTTACCATAAGAAGAGTTGTTTGATTTATTTTATTTTAATTAGAAACATTTTATTTTATATTTTTAATTACATACTGTTATTTTAGGAAGGGGTATTTTAGGAAGATTGGGTATGAAAGCGTATAACGGGAAGTTCTTTTCCGGACATAAAAAAACATAGAATGAGAAGTTTTTTTCCGGACAGAGGGAGTACTTTAATTTGTTTTACATTTACACGGATAAATACAATTCAAGAACTTTTATATTTTATGTATTATAATGGTTATTGGAACAAAATATATTGGTTAGTTACACCCTCCGTCCCAAAAAAATAATATATTTACTATTATGACATCTCGATAACTCTTATTTTTTTTCGTGTTTCCACTGATCAGTTGATAAAATAAAATATTTTTTATCAGCATTTGTTTTGTAGAGTTTTTTATGTAAATTTTAAATATAATTTTTAATTTTGTATTTTTACAAATTTGTAAATAAAATTATTTTAAAAGTCATGAGGTTTTACAAGTTGATCAAAATGAGTAAAACATTTTGGGATGAAAAGAGTTTAATATAACAAGTTATGATTGGAAAAGAGAGCAAAAAGTGGTTTGTTATACTACTATTTATTTGCTAAAAAAAGCAATAGCAAGTCACAAATAACAAGCTCTTTTGGAGATGCTCTAACATTTTGTCACATGAGATTGCTATTCTTCATAACACATTTCTAATTTTGTGGAAACTCTGACGATCTAATGGTTTTGTGAAATGTCGGTCAATTGTCTAGTTGTCCCGATAAATTCAATAATTACATAACAATGGTCTTTACTTTCCAATATTTCTTTCGTCTTACAATTGATGTCACTGTCCGCAAAACGAAAAAAATATGATTCTTTTTTAATTCATTTTATTTAAAACTTGATGTAGAAATGAAATGCAAAACTTGCACATTTAAAAACTACATCAAAATTTCTACAAAATAAGATGTGACAATAATATTTTATTTTATAAAATTAACAATCAAAAGATACAAATAAACAAAAATTATCGTAAGTTTTGAATAATACACAATGGCATACATTTTGGGATGGAGGAAGTAAAATGTTGTCTAATATCCATGTGCTTGTTATGTGAACCATATAATATTTACGGCAAGTCTAAAATGACACAAGTGCTAGAGGAGTCATTTGCTTACACCAGTTCGTTTGAGGTACCTACGGTGCTCCGTTTGTAAAAGCGACGGTTCCTATCCCCCTTAACCCTCCCCCTAAACCCCCCACCCCAGCCCCCCCTCCCGCCCCCTCCCTACCCTGGCAGTACACTAGTGTACTGCCAGGGTAGGGAGGGGGCGGGAGGGGGGGCTGGGGGGTTTAGGGGGAGGGTTAGGGGGTACGAACCGTCATTTTTACAAACGGGGCACCGTAGATACCCCAAACGAACTGGTGTATAAGTAACTGGTGTCATTTTAGACGCTCCCTAATATTTATAGTAAGACTGGAGAGACGCTCTCACTTGCGTGATGGGAAAAAAGACTATGACCGAAAAGATGCATCGAGTTATATATTGGAATTGAGATCCAAAAAGTTGAGTCCAAAGAGGTCCTTGAGACTTGTCTGGTTTTAGAGCATGTTTTCTTTAACTTATTCTTATTACTTTCTCCATGCGTCTCACATAAATCTTCTCATTAGTCATTTCTATTTATCCCCATTAATCTCTCTACTACTTTTTTAACATTTAATGCGGAGTATATAACTACCCCACTAACTATATTTATCATATCTTACCACCTCATTTATACTATACTCATTTTCATTAAGGATATTTTGGTAAATTTTTATTTTTTTTCAAATCTACATGAAAATCACAAAAAATCAAAACGAGAACATCTTTGTGAGATGAATGGAGTATTGCTTATTCTTATTGGAATCACTTTAGTTCAGTTCTGATCAAGACAGATCAGATCAAACCAAAAATAGTCTCTTATGTAATTACATTCAAATCAGATCAAACCTGATCTAACCATGACAATCAAATCAAAATGATTTAGATTAGGTGAAAAGAACAAGTCATCAAACGAATAGTTTTATTCGTTTCTTAATTTTCAGTAAAGTATTAGGCTGGTCTCATGCCGGAAGATTTTTTTCAAAAGACTAGATCGAGATCGGACTAGAACTAGAATCAAGAGAGTATAATCTAAAATTCATTATTCAAAGAGACACTAATCTTACGTGGAAAGTTATTTTCTAAGAGATATTAATAATGTCAACCAGGCAGCCTTTGATTAGTTTGATATCATCATTTGTTATTGTAGCACGATTGAAATTTCTTTATCCCCCCTTGTATTGATCTCAATCTTGGAATAAATTAGGCAGATGATAGAAATGAAGAGGAAAGGGTTGAAAAAAAAGGACTAGTGAGATTGAGCTCCTTAACCTTAGTCAATTCCATCGCATGAATACTTTTCAAATCCATCAAATAAAAAGTCTTACTCCGTATGTATACAATTATACATTGCTCATCCATTTATTGAGACCCTTAAAATATATTGTGCTAAATGTATTTGTTTAATTTGATGTTTTCAAGTTATATTTGAGTAAATTGTAATCGATGATTAATCTGAATTTATGTTATACTTCTTTCGTTCCTTAAAGTCCTTCCCGTCTTGATTTTTTGGAAAATAAAGTGAGAGATATTTTGGTGTTCACTTTGCAAAAATAACGATAAAAGTACGATATGATGGATAGATTATTAGTAAAAAGGTATGATGTAATTAGTAGGTATTAGGAAGTATAATTAAATTAGGATACTTCTTTCCTTTCCTACTAGGATTATTCTTTCCTTTCCTACTTGTACTCTGATTACTCTTGTATTCCCTATATATAGGGTCATATCTCTCAATATTCAATAAGATAAGTTATTATCAAATTGTATCATGGTATCAGAGCTAAGGCTCTCAAAAACCTAGCCTCTCTTTTTTTCCGACCGCCGCCCACCATGGCAGCCCCGTCGGATCCTTTGGCGTCCTTACCCTCCGGAGTAAAACTTTTGCTTCGGAGTCTCCACAACTTAATCCCAGAAAAACTCACCGAAACAAATTATCCGGCTTGGTCTCTCAATGTCCAGACAGCTCTTTCAGCTAATCTCCTCCTTGGATGGATTGATGGTCATGAAGCAGCCCCGGCGCCAACTATCTCCAAAAATGATAAAACCGTCCCTAATCCAGAGTATACCTCCTGGACCATCGTTGACACACAGATCCGCGCCTGCCTCCTAGCGGTCATCAGCCCCTTCGTTCACAAACATGCTAGCGGCTTCACCACATCTGCTGCCCTCTAGGATGCTTTGGCCGCACGGTACAACTCCGTGTCCACCGCTCATGTTTATCAGCTTCGGGACAAACTCCACACTCTTCGTAAAGGTACAAAAACTATGACACAATACCTTGATGATGTGGCAACTATTCTCTCGGATCTCGATGCCTTGAAAGAAGAGATCCCTGAACGTGATGTGGTGAATGCTGTTATTCGTGGTCTTCCCACCGAATACTCATCCTTTAAGCAAAACATTCGCATGAACAATACCAATATTTCGTTAAATCAGCTTTCTGGATGGCTGATCTCCGAAGAAATAAACCTGGAGATGGAGAATAAACTCAGCCTCACCGAGTCTACCATCACCGAACCTCGCACAGCACTTCTCGCTACGAACGGTCGAGGTCGCGGTAGAGGAGGCTACCGCGGTCGACCGTCACCTGGACGTGGATACAACA